GCCGAGAGCCGGCGTCCGAGCAGCCAGCTGGCCCTCCTGGAGGAGGTGACTGTCCTCCTAGGAGCTGCCTGGCTTCTTTGCTCCCGAAGGCATCTCCGAGGCCGAGCGTGAGGACCAGCGTGCGGCTTGGTGGGCGTGGAGCCCAGGCGGACCTAAGCTGGGGCGCTGGGAGTGAAGCCGCAGCCCGGGGCCCAGGAACTCCGCGCCGCGGGGAGAGCTCCGGGCACTGGGCGGCCCCTGGGGAGCCCAGGACTGGGGGAAGACCACCCACGAGGGGCGCCCTCACGGAGAGGTCAGGTGCAGGTGGCTTTTGAGAGAGAAACGATTTCATCCCTGGCCCTTCGAGGTGTTTGAGGCTGCCCTTCTCCGGAACCGCTTTGGTTATCTCCTTGGATTTGCTCCCCTTGCTTCCGCGTGATTTTGTCTGCTGGAACTGTCTGCACCTCTAACTAAAATCCTGGGTCTGCCAGCCTGCCTGGCCTGTCCTCTGTGGAGCTCCAGATCCAGGTGCCAACCGCTGCCAGCCTTGCTGTAGATGCACAAAAGCGCTCGGCCCCACGCTGGCTGAGACAGGGCTCCTTGGCTAGTCTGTAACTCGGGCCTCCTCTCAGAGGGTGCCTCCACCTGCCGGGGCCCCACCTCTGAACGCTGAGCTCAGTTTGTCCTCTCTTACTCTTTCATCCTTCCTTCAGGTGACAGGTATAATAGGGAACGCCACCTCCCAAGCCCTAGACTAGGGGTTTGCTAGCAGGGACTCCCGTTCTGCCCCTCCTGCTCTGGGAGGCTTGGTCAAATGCCTGAGCACTTCTGGTCTTTGTTTCTGCAGCTGGCACTGGCTCTGCAGCCTGGCCCACAGGTGACATTGACACAGAGGCTGGAGCCCCTGGGACAGGGCTCGCCCCAGCCCCAGCCGCTGGCTGGACTACCCAGGGCTCCCTGTAGCCAGGTAAGTGTGACAGCTCCTTGCCGTTGTGCTGAGGCAAGCATACACACACACACCAAAGTAGCTGGTTCTGCACAGGGAACAGTGTGAACCTCCATGGACATCCAGCCGCTAAGGCCACCAATGCAAAAGCATCCTTGGGACAAGGTAGTGCTGCTAAGAAAACATAGGTGTATACATTTTGATTGTCCATTCAGGCTGTTTTTATTTGGTGAATTCAGGATCCTTAGTTCACACAGTAACTCACAAATAAGATAGATGTTCAGGGCCTCTTCGTGGGGTGTCTCTGTATTTGATCACACCTACCTGCGAGAGGCCAGTGTGGGCAAGCATAAGGTGGCATGAGCCAGGCAGGATCTGGGCTTAGAAGGACTGGGAGAGAGCTGGGGTCTGAGAGCCAGCTGGACTTCTTGGAGGAGGTGACTGTCCTAGGAGCTGGCATTTAGCCTCTTCTCCTGAAGTCCAGAACGTGGAAGAAGACATCCCCAAGGTGAAGTGTGAGGACCAGGCCGCAGGGCTGGGCTCAGTAGGCATGAGGATGCCCCCACATAGGTGACATCGGGATGTCTGGTTGAGGTCTGAGGTCCTGGGAATGTTTCGGATACTGCCTCTTCCTTTTAAGAAACGCTACATCTTCCTACAAGTAACCTCTCCTATCTGCCCTGACTGACAATCTGTAGCATGCTGGGCCTCTAGGAGGCGGAGGGAGGGTGACTCTCCATTCTAAATAGCATCTGAGGGCTCAAATGAGCCAGCATTTTGGCGCCTGTCACAGCTGTGGGCCACCTACTCTGCAGTCCCCACCAAGCAGCTCAGGAAAGGCAAGCGCCCCCATAGTTTGTTGGGAGCCCCAGCTGCCCAGGCCTCAGAGCTGCTCTAACCCTGACCCCGGCCTGCCTGTGCAGCTTGTCCTCTTGCCTTCTCTGCCCTGGGGAGGTATCAGTTCCCAGCCAGTGCTGCTGGGCCTGCCTGGCCCGTTTGTCCCTAATAATGCATGAGCAACCTGGTCAGTGTCCATGGCGGCCAGTTCCTCTCCCGTTCTGCCTCCTTCCCCAGTAAGACTGATAGGGAGGACAGACACTCCGGAGCACTTCTTGTTCTCCGCCAAGGCCCCCCCAAACCCACTCCCTGCAAGTCTGTTCCTTCCCTTGCCATCCAGCAAATATTTATTTAACATTGATTGACTGCATGCCAGGCACTGCGCCTGGCACTGCGTGACAAATAAGGGCAGAGCTTGACCTCAGGAAGCTCAGGGTGGGCATGGGAAGAGGGAATAATAGGCCAGCAAACAGTGGCCGTGCAGGGTGTTGCATGATATGGCAGAAGCACTGTGGATCCCAAAGGTCAAGAGATCGCCCGGCAGAGTCCCATAGGTGGGCACCGAGAGGCGGAGGTCACCAGATCATTCTCCGGCACAAGGCAGAATTTCACAAGTAGGGAGCACGTTGTTCGGTACTCTGCCAATAGCTGGTGGAGGAGGAGGAGTTTGGGCTTTGCTGGAGCACTGCGGTGTTGGGGGAGGGGCGTGGTGACCCGGCTTTCTGCAGGTTGTGCCCCGAGAAAATCAGCTCTGGCTGTGGTGAAGTTGGTGGCATGCCCAGATCCCAGCCAGGGCTCTGCCACTTACCAGCTGTGTGCGCCTGGGGCAAATCATTTCCCTCTCAGAAAAGGCAGGCGCCCCCAGACCTCAGGGTCTTCATCTATAAAATGCAGATAGCTGGGTGGGCGTCAAGAAGAGTATTTGCATGAAGCTCCTAGAACATAACAGAGGGAGGGAGGCTGCTCCTGGCCCCGACCTGGTCCCCTGCCCTCCTCGGCCCCTCTGTGATCTGACAACGTTCTGGATCATTGCTTGTCAGGGAAGGAGCCCACGGAGGAGCTGAGAGTGGCCAGGAAGCAGCACGGCTGGGGCGGGCTGGAGTGCGGTTGTGCTCTCAGCGTTGATGGAGGCACGAGGGTAGAGTCCGCGGCAGCGGGCACCCCAGCAGGGAGTGGGCTGGCTGCCAGCTTCTTGCTCCGAGAGCTGAGGCCCTCCACCTTGAAGAGCGCCCTGAGACTGGGCCTACTGCCTCTGCCATCTTTGATGCCAAGGTTACTCTGTCAGCCTCGCGGAAGGGTAGGGACGGCATGAGCAGAAGGAGCGGCTAAGTGCCTGACTCGGGTGGGCCGTCTTAACCTTCCTCAGAGCTCCTCACCCACCGAGCCACCTTGTGTTTTCCCCAGGACGTGCGGAGCCCGCCAGCCTCCATCCTCGCAGCTATGGAGGCCCTGGGTCCTGGGGGCGAGCGCACCTCCCCGACCGCCTCTCCACGAGGCCTGGACTTGCGGCGGCGGTCCACGGGCGCCGACTCGGCCTATAGCTCCTTCTCCGCGGCCTCCGGGGGCCCTGAGCGGCGCACCCCATCGCCGGGACCTGAGGTCCCGCCGCACCTGGACCGGGA